CCCCCCCCCCCCAAATTTAGCCACACTAGCTCCTCCGCCCACCGCTCCTTCGCCCCTGTAGGGAGGCTTACCTAACCCCCCCCAATCATTATTGAGCCTCCGAGGAAGATCTCGTGACCGGACCCGTGTCAACAACAGGCTTGCGAAGACTCATCTTTTCCATACACCAAAGAAAGTGGCCCCCGGGTCTGCGCCACAGGCCCTGTCTTTTAACGGCATGGCTTAAAAGCGGTTAGTTGTTGCCAGTAACTAGGTAACTAGGTTCGGGTCGAGTTCTCAAACTAAATGGCGACTGAAACGGGTGGAAGTTGAGACGCACCAAGACCTGCAGCCGATATCCCAAGATTTGTCGTAAAATCGCCACACCTCAAATGTTCCTATAATTGCCTCGGTACAAAATACGGCGAAGAGGTTGTCGCTTTCAAACCACTCTTGAATTTACGTTGAACCAGGACACGGTGTTGATCACCTCGAACCCCAAACGATTCCATTCTTAGCATCTTAGAGCATGAACCATAAATTTTTTATTGATATTGTCACAGTCAGTTCCAAAGCTCGGGACGAGCGACGGAAAAGGCTCGATGCCCTCTGAGCTTAGTTCTCAGTACCTCTAATAGCGTCCGGTCCGCAGACCTGAGGCCGCGGGCAGGGGCGGGGTGAGCTCAGAGAGGTCAGGTGGGGGCGGGCCATTTTAAGATTGGAAAAAGCAATCAGAGAATCTGAAAAAAAAAAAATAAGACTCTAAAAAGGGGAGCCAGCGAAGGGATGCCAGAGTCGGAGTGATGCGCTCCCTTTTTATGCGAGTTAGTGGACGGAAACCCGCGCGACTTGCTCGCTGCTACCTCGATGGCAGCGACCTCCGCAGAACCCCGAGTGGTTCCCGAGAGCTTGCAGAAATGAGTCCTTGAAGTCATTGTTGAAAAAGCCTCAACTGGGCGCCCGCCGTCGTCGGAGATTGATTTCTCTGTGTGATTGTTGACCGCGAGAGCGACTACCCGGGGCTGAAGTGCGATCCCGAGGCGGCCGTGGAGCCGAGCATGCGTCACGAAGCCCAACGACGAAGTGGTTGGCGTTCTTTTGGACGGGGTTTGGCTTCCGGGGGATTTGGAAAGGCCGGCCGCGTCGGCCTCCGCCCGATATTCCAACACGCCCGACTCGGCGCCGTTCCGGAATGGCCGCACGCCGTCGCAACTCGGGCTGCACAACTAAATGGAAAAAAAAATCCATGGCGCGATCATCGCAAAGACGTGCGCGAAATGAATACTTGATGCTTTTACATATAACGTGACCCGACATTGACCAATCAAATGCAACCTTATCATCTCGGGACATCGCCAACAAGAAATGACTTGAAAATTAGTCCCAAATCCGACAGAAGAGCGCGAGGATTGCGCCTCGCGTTCAGGTCGATTGCGAAATCGATGTCTTTTGGGCGGATTAATTGATGGCCCGAGGCGTTCGAACACTTGACTCGTAACACGTTTGACGCCGCTCTCATTTGGGCCGAGTTCTTCGGGCATACACGAGCAGAAACGCGAATCCGGTCTCACCGCCGCAACGGTGGGATGGCGAGATAGCCGTGCTGCAAATTCTGTGGCAAGATTCCCCAAACAAAAGATGATGTGGTGGAAGTGTTACGTAAGAGCAGAAGCGCGCGCTTCTCCGCGCGCGCTCGGCCGGCCAGAATTCCGCCGTTGTTCGCAATAATGACTGCGTGTCGAAATGTGAAGTGTTGTCCGTTGGAATGAGGGCACCTCTTCCCGGCGAGTCGCTCGGCCTCGCAAACGGCCGCCGTCTCTTTGGAGTGACGCTTTTGTGGAGCAGCTCAGTCGGGGGCGGGCGGGCAGGGGGGGGGGGCGGACTATATTTAGCGCCTGCTATTCGTTCGATGTCCTAGTTGTCGCCGGGGCGGCGTTGTCTTCCATCCAACATTCCTTCACGGCACAAATCAGACAATTGGGAGTACAGGAAGCGGCGATGTGAAGGTGCAATTGCCCTCCTCCTTTCTGCTCCGTTTAAGTTGATTTGGGATGCAAAGCGCCGGCTCGCCCTTAAGCGGCATCATCCGCGACCTCCGGGGACCCCCGTGCCCCCCGCCCCCCGGTGGCCATTACGGAGTTAATGGTGCAGGCAGCGGCAGCGTCCTCGAATGCTGCCAGCCTGTTGGCCAACGACAGACGTGATTTGAACGCATCTGTCGTCGCACGGGGGCGGTTGGGGCAACAATGAAGATGAGTGGCCGTCGTTGCCCGCATGGGAAAATAAAGGAAAGTGGACTGCGGGGTTTTTGCACGCATTGATGAATGCCGAGCTCTGAACTCGTGCAGAGTGCTTCTCATGAAAAGCGACTCGCATCACAGGAGGATGTTGTTTTTTTTTTTTTTTTTTTTTAGATTTTCCCAACCGAGCTGTTTTTCTTTTTGAAATTGAGTTTGGTGCTTTGAAAACAAGTCGTTATGTACTCAAGGTAATTGCTAGCAAGCAGCTGCTCCGCGTGACCCCCCCCCCCCCCCCCCCTCCCCCTTTACCCTCAGCGGTGTCAAATATAAAGCCAAACAGCGGCGTACCCTGTCACCGCAGCCTCGGGCCAGCGAGCAAAACTTGTTTCTACTGTAATGGCCGGAAGCGACATTGGTTTGGAACGTTGCCCCCCACCACAACAGCTCGAGGATCAATATTTTAATTAGAGCGACATGGCACTCGTCCAATGGATGTTGCGAGCTCCGGCGAACCCTTAAGTACAGCAAAGACGGCGTGCGCCGGGTATTTGAAATGATGAGAGCCATACCGAAACCTCGATTGTCACGTTAGGGTGGAAGGTGTGGCGCTCCGATCCGGCCGCGGCCTTTTGGGGGCTTGCTGCAGTTGAAGTATCGCTCACTTTGAAAAGGGAGGGGGGGGGGAAACAGAACCCCAAAACTTTTTGGGTTCTTTGAAGAGACTGAGCGTGACCAGACTCTTTTCCTTGTTGAACCAACCCAAGTGCCGCCGAAGTTGGCCGCCAAGTGCCGTACGGCGTTGCGTGCGCTCCCACAAAACGGTGGGCCAACTGTACAAGGAGGCGAAGTTGAACTTCAGACGCTCCACTTTACAGTGGGGCCTTAAATCGTAATCTTTATTGATTTATTTGAGCTTTTGTGTTGTAACCAAAATGTAAGGCGCAAGCAAATATAAGCTACTGGTCGTTAGGGTTAGATTGATCTGCTTTTTTTTCAGGGCTGATGCCGACAACGATTATTCAAAGTCAGGGAGGCCGATTGCCAGCATATCCGTCCGCGTTACTCTGCGCGTCATTTCATATTTTTGTGTCAGTCTACATCAGGGGTGTCAAACTCATTTTTGTCATGGGCCACATTTCAGCTCCCGTTTCCCTTGGAGGGCCGTTATGACTGAAACCAAATGCAAAAAGTCAATCAAGGTTGATTTGTCTGTTGTTTAAATTATTGTAATGAAGGGTTTGGGTACAAGAAAATGCTTACAATCTGTCTCTTATTTATTACATAAGAGAATTTGAAATTTTGGTCGAGACTTTAGCAAGCATCTTGGAAGTTGATATGTTTGATTTGCTTTTGCGGGCCAAATCAAACGATGTGGCGGGCCAAATCTGGCCCCCGGGCCTTGAGTTTGACACCTGTGGTCTACATGAACGAAATGGGAAAATTTTTGTTCCGAGTCAGCGACTTGCGGTCACGGGCAACTGACACGTCTTTCTCCTCATTGACTTCGCGTCGCCGCGGCGCTTTATGACGCGGTCGGACACGGAGCGTCGACCGCCTCGACGAAGAAGCCGACAGTGTTTTCCAGACAAATACTTGCAATGACGTGACGACGGCGTTGGCGTCTGTTCCGACTTTCATGCAAATTGCGGTCACGTCGCCACGGTAGGAACCCAAGAGCGGCGTGCGAAGTCCGTGGCAAAGTCCGGGCATCCGGGGTGCTATTATGGGCCTCGCGGAGGTGTCGCCCGCGTGCCTGCCCGGTCAGAGCTCAGCAGCGGGTTGCGATAAATCATCGGCTTTTACCGCCGCCGCTGCGGGAAGCGCGTCAGCTGCTAGGGGGGCGTCGACCCTTTCCGGCCTGTCAGCCAAACATTTGATTGCAGCTGCGGCGGGTTTCCCAAGCACCAAGCCTGAGCAAAGGTGACGGAAGAATACAGGGCAGCAGACAAACGGTGGCTACGCGTGAGCATGGGACCCAAGGGCGGGCCTATGCCGGAACCCCGGAGGGCCAACCGGCGCAACCCCGATATTTTAAGCGGAAACCAGAGCTCGAGCGCGCTGGTCAAAGAATGACGGAGATTTCGCTGGGTCGGTGTCGCGGGGCCACCTGCGGCTCGTCGCACGCTGCGAAACCAAAAACGTGCAAGACTTTCCCTGTCACGGTCTCGCGGCGTTTTAGACGCCGCAGCGAAAGTCCCTGATGATGTCACACGAAACAAGGTTGCGACGTTTGTTGCGCTACTCGAAACCAAAAAAATCGGCCACAGCGATGCCCGCGCGGTCCAAACCGAGCTAAAATGGTGTCGTCTGATCTCGGCGTATCCGGCCGGTATCTTGTCGTTCCCATCGCCACCCGCAATTCGTGACCATCGGCGAGGGTGGGAAACGCCCGGGCGAATCGAGAGCTCGCCCTTTCGGCTCAGCACCTTCTACACCGTGACACGGAGTCGGCATCGCCGCGGGGGGCCGCACCGACTTACCGGTCAATCTGCCCGTTCCTTTCTTCCCTCTCTCGCAATACTAGAACGGCTCCACTGGGGGTATTGCTTGTATTTCATTCCACCACCACATTTAAAAATGTGTTTTTTTTTAAATGATGCGGTTTTCTCAACCAAGCGCCCGCTGCAAAATGGCGCCAGACGCTGCTGGCAAAAGCGGAGAAATGGTATCGCGCAGTCGCCGGTGCCTCCGTGGCCGTCCACGGATTCCGAAGCGTGCCCCTGAGTCGGCCCATTGTGCTCGTGGCCTCGTGGTGAATAGCGTTGGGCGGCGTGGGGAACAATGGCACATTGTTCCCCCGCCGTGCTGAAGAATCCGCGGGTTACTCCCTGTACCATCCCCGGTGTGCCTGAGGAGGAAGAAATTGTGTCGCCAAGCTGCCATCCGTAGTGCTTTGCGAGCTCCGCGGCACCTGCCGAGGCGGTCGGTCGGGCAAGTCGGGGGGAGGGCCAGGCGCTTCCCAAGTCACTCTGCTAATGTGGACAACGCTGTGGGAATAAAAGCTTTCGGAGCCAAGCGTGGCTTTGGATTTCAAGGGAGGAGAGCTAGCGCAAACTGTTCCTCGCTAGCATGTCGTTGAAATCCCTCAAGGAGTTCGGCGTTTCGGCCGAACGTCTGGGCTCCTTTTGTAAGCGGTGGATGGCTCGCGTCCAAAGGTCTGTGTGCCAAAATGGCCGTTTTGTTCTCACCGCGACCGCGTTTTGAAGTTCACCGTTGATCTTGACGTGCCCGTCCGGGGCGTTTCTGAATCCTCGTTGCGCTTTGAGACGTGCCGCCTCACACCGAACGAACGCAGGATTTCGGGCCCAGAAGCTCATGGTGAGATTCGCTTCTTGTCGTCCCAAGAAGTGTGTTTGCTGCCCCCAGCCCATCGAAATAAATAAATAATGCTAATCAAACTTGCGCAATGTACTTCCTCCTCTCACTCCTCACAATCGCCAGCTTCGGTGCCGAGAGAGAAGCCCCCGCTATTTAGTGGCCATCTGCTTTGGCTCTCGAAATCTGGAAAGCCACCGTGGCTCACGCCCACGGCCGATCGCTTCCCTCGCAGCAGTACTCCTCCCGAGTGTCTGCGTTTTGGATTCAGGGCACCCGGTAGTGACATGTGACAAGGCCGCGATATGCCGTCCGAGTCTCGTTTACCTGAAATCGGGTCACGGGAGAACAAAGCCGATGTCATGCCCTGTGAAAGAAAATGCTTCCGACGACAGATTCCGCTGAGCGTGCAATAGGCGCCATTAAAGTGCGCCTTTTTTCTTTTCTGCCTCCTACATCCACTTTAAGTGGGGACGCAACGCTCGAGAAATGCAAAGATGATCTTCGCGGCTTTTGCGTCGGCGCGTAAGGCTCGAAGTCGACTCGCCGCGAACGGTCTGCCGCCAGTGTTGAAATGCCCCAGCGAGCCCGACTATACGAAAATAAGCCGAAGGTGGTGGAGAAGAGCTGCGCTCGCTTTTGCTAATTTGATTGTGACTTCTGTCAAAAGATTCAGACCAGAGGGCGAAGAACGAGGGCAGTGCCGTGACGCGAAGCTCAAATTTCATGCAAAGTCAAAAGCCAAAGACCGAAAAGGGGAGTTTTCCGACGAGTTTGAAAGATGGACAGCGAGGGGGGCTTGCCGAACCTGCGGCGGGAAAGGCTCGCTCCCTCTCGGAGTGTCCCGAGGCAGCGGGCGGGGTCGGAGGAGCTCCGAGAGGTGCCACTCAAAGATTTGAAAACCAATCACAGGAGCTCCCAAACAACTTTAAAATGAGCCCATGAAGGGATGCCAGAGGAGGAGTGATGTGCTCCCTCTTGCGTGTACCAGTCGAAAGGCGATCGGCGGCGTTCTGGACCAACTGGAGACGCTTGACGGAGGATCCATTGGCCGACTCCAAAGTCAAGTGCCTTAGCGGGCGCTGCAATGTGTTGAGAAATCATGAATCACACATCAAGAGAATTTGAGCACATTCTAGTTAACTCAAAAAAAAGATCTTTCTTTAGCCCCCCACCACCACCACCACCACCACTGGCAGAGTCCTCCGAATCCTTTCATTCAATTCAATGCGCATGTTTTGGAACCCAAGTCGATGTGGACTTGTGGAGTCGTCCCGCGATTCGTTATTGATGTCGCCGGTGCATTCATGCTAGCCGCTAATCGCCCGATGGCAACTTTCAAGGTGGGTCCCGCTGGCTCTCCTTGAAGCTTTTCAAAGCGCCCCAACAGAAAATCGACACCTCTTTTCCACTCGGCCGATTCACTCGATGGTTAACATCAACCATTTAGCCAATAACCAACAAAGATTGAAATGGACCGAACAATCGCCCGGAAAACGTGGACGTGGCAATTTCACAGCTGAGTAGCTGTATTCCCCCCTCCCTCTCTTCCCCACAGCAACGGCATGAAGATGAACGGGTCGTCGGAACACTTGGATCAGCCGGATCCGGACTCCATCAAGATGTTTGTGGGCCAGATCCCTCGCTCCTGGTCAGAAACGGAACTCAAGGAGCTTTTTGAACCCTTCGGAGCCGTGCACCAGATCAACATCCTGCGCGATCGCACTCAGAACCCCCCTCAGAGCAAAGGTAGGACCCGCGGGGACCGTGTTCGCGCTAACCGCTTCCTTGTTGAAATCCGCCCGTGTCCCCACCGTGTGTGAAAACGCGCTCGTTGCCATCTCTCACCCACAGTCACATATCGACATTTACCCCCCCCCACCCCCCCACGGGGCAATGAGCAACACTGCTTGTCTGCTCTTGCAGCACAGCTGTGTTTGTGCTTTCGCATGACAGCATTCAGTCGTCTTAAAAGCCATTTCCATAAGCCGCATTAGAGGAAGATTTCCTTTTTACTTTGTAGCCGACTGTGCTGGTTTTCAAAGCTGTGTCGAATAAAACGCAAGGTTATTCATTGCATCCGCATACTCGCTCTGTGTGTGTGCGTGTGTGCGAGCGAATGCGAGCGAAATGACATTTCAAGCAAGTGGCGCATTTGAGTTCACCGCAGGATGCTAACAAATGGTGAACCCTGTTTCCGCTGCGGCGTTAATGGGAACATAATCCTCCGTTTCTTTTGGTGCACAACAACTGAGAGGTCCTGAAAAAGGATGCTGGCAAAAAAACAAACATAAAAAACTGGACTGAGCACTTTGAATCTTCCAGAACAAATCACCTCACAAAAGAAGAACACTTGCTTCCGACAGTACAGGACGTCTCGGACTGGCTCTTCGAAGTCAAGTCGCTTTGAGACGGCGCTTTTCAGCTTGACGCCTCGACGAGGAGACGGTCTCCCTTTGAATTTTTGGTGGGGAATTGATATGGAACTTGTGAGCCCATTGGGCAAAGGGGTTCCTCGAGTAGCTGGCGAAACAAAAGGGTCAAGATGTGCTGAGGGGGGAAAAAAAAAGTTGGATTGTCACTTGGGAGCAGATTTTCGAAAGACGGTGTCAAAAAAACCCGCCGTTTCTCCGCAACCAATGGTCCGATTCTTGCAAGTTTTGTCGTTTTGGACCGAGGCAGAAGCGAAGCGGCTTTGTCGTCGAGACCTGCCTGGAGCCATTTTCACAAAGACGGGTTCGCTGACATCGTCATGCAATCAATCGGTCTGCAGATTTTCCCCGTCGAGCACACGTGCGGCGCACCCGCCGTATGCTAATTAAGTAGCCGTTATTTTGGGATGCGCTCCGGCGTTTGACAAACGGGTGAATCAACGACATCCGCGACATCCACCGGACCGCGCAAGTGACTCTGCCGGCTCGGAGCCAATCATCCACCCCCGAGCGCTCACGGCGGTCAGACCGGTTCGGATGCGGCCGCTCCACGGCCCGCTTGCGACCGCTGACTTTCCGCTCTGCGGCTCGCCGTCGGCCTGCCCGTAAATCGCTCGTGCCGTCGGGTCCCCGTCGGGCCGCGCTTGAAAATGGCCGTCGACTTTGTACGATTCTGCCAGCGAGTGAAGGCACCTGGCATCCCAGCGTCTCCCAAGGGAGCGCTTGTGACTCTCCAGGCGACGAAACAAGGCGAGCCATTCATTTCCATTCAGGGAAACCGTCCACAAGCGTTTGTTTGAACAAAACGCTTCCCAAGGTCGAACGACGACTCTTGTCGCCGTGACCGAAGGGCGACTGACTCGATGGGGCCATCCCGTTGCGAGAGACCCTCTGGAACTGGGGGGGGTCCAAACTCCTGCCTGCTTTCCGGCTCTCCCCGGAGCAACGCGCCCGCTTCAAATCACGCGGATCTCGTTCTCATGCCGCTTCAGAGCCGGCCAATGAGCCGATTGTTTGAATCGGGCGTGTTGCGGCCGGGAGAGCTGCAAACCGCGCGAGGTACGGTGACCCCCCCCCCCCGGGCCCGGGGCCGGACATCCCTGCTGCTCTGGAAAATGGCAGCGATCGCACAGACACGTCAATGTGAGTCCGTGCGTGTGTGTAATGGGCAGTGTTGCGCCCCCACACACACACACACACACACACACACACACACACACATGGCGGTGTCCAGAGAGCGGTGGTTCAAAGGCCGCTTTTTTTTAAGCCCAACCCCCCCCCCACCGCGCCACCAACCCACCGACTTCCTCTCTTCCTCCTCCTGGTTCTATGTGGCGTTTCAGCTGCGATGGCCCATCGCACCCCGTTGGGAGAAGCGGAGGTCCACGTGATGCTCTCAGGCTCATGTTTATTTGCGGAGTGGATAATACAGCCGCCCCTCAGTCTGCTTTTCGCTTGTTTTTGGCCGCCAAGTAGCCTCCGTCCAATTTTTCTTTTTAAACCCGTGTCAAACGCCGGTCATAAAACAGTCCTCTGACGAGGCGTCGCCGGTCGTCGGCGCAATCGCGTGCGGCCGCGTATTGGTGTTCGGCAGAGCGCCCGCCCCGCCCCGCCCCCGCGGCCCGGCAGCTCCAGCAACGGCATAATACGCACTATGTAGGTCAGAGACGCTGCAGTGCTCCACTTCCCTATCCCGCTGAAACTGACAGGCTGGAACGCCACCGGCGGTCTGCTGGGACGGAAGGATGAGAGGCCCCTCCATCCCCCCCCCTTCTTTCCTTCCGCCCCCTCCACCACCTCTTTCTTCCTCTCTCCCATTTTTTTTTCTCCCTCTTGCCGTCTGAACGCTTATACGCTTTCAAGTTGGGCGGACCATAGCAACTCTGCAGGACGTGTTGGGGCTGTCTTGACCTGTGTTTGGGTTCACACGGACAGCCTTCGAAGCCCCCCCCTCGTTACAGTCAGAGTTGCACCATTAAAACTTCTCCCAAAGGTTTCTACAATTTTGAACACGTTCCACATTGGAAACTTTCCATGGGAATGAAACTGGCAAGTGGCAATGAGAATGGATCAAAGTACGAGAGCTCACTCGATTTTATTTTCTTTTTTTTCTTAAGGCAGATTTCGAGAAACGATTAATCGGCTGATGAATTGGGGAAAAAAAAATCTACTCAATCAAATCTTTTGGGGTCCCTTTCACGCTCATCCCAACATATGAATTCGAAAAGTAGACGACTGCAAGGCATGAAAACGCTGAATTTCACCATTCGGCGCGGCCTACGTCGCACTTTCTGTGGTCACGTTCATTCGGGTGATGATGCTCAAACATCTTTTCCCCCCGCCCTTTCCATTTCGTACATTCCCGCTTTGCGAATTCCCGTTATTTTCCAATCGTGCTTAGTTCCCGTCCTGCCGGTTCAGCTTCCCTTTTGAAATTGTTGTTCCCTCTTTCTGTCACAGGATGCTGTTTTGTAACTTTTTATACAAGAAAAGCTGCACTGGATGCCCAGAACGCCCTGCACAACATCAAGACCTTAAGTGGGGTGAGTGCGCAGCACACGCGATGGGCACGTAAGCCGCGTTGCCCGGCCGGCTTGGCTAAACGCTGAAATTCTCTGCGATGGGCTGAAATTGGGCTTGAGCAAAAGCGATTTATTTGTTCAGGCCCAGCCAAGCACCCGTTCACCTTCAAGTGGAATACATTATTTATGCTAGCCCACGTGAATCATTGATGCACTTTTTTTTTGTTGGGGGGGCGGCGGCGGTCTTCAATAAGTAACCCTTAAATCTGGCCGCCGTAAACCAGACACACGTCAAGCTCTGCAAATCTCCCCATGAATATTCGCTATTCTGAACGACTACTTCCGCACTTGATTCAAATATGAAAGAGCAGTGATTGGGAAAACGAAGCTTCATAAAGCACTTGTGACTCCTCTAAGATGGGTGCTCTCGGTTTAAATATAACATGCATCTTTCCACTACATCTTTAAACCAAGAGTGCCACCTAGAGGAGTCAAAATCTATCACAAGCGCCTCATAAAGCTTCTGTTCAGTTAGTCGAGCTTCGCAGCCTTCCTGGCACCGGCTGGAGGTGACCGAGTTTGGATGACAGTGGGGGGGGGCTTGAAAGCTCATTCCAGATTTCTCTCACTCCTTGGTCAGTGATGCTCACCAGTAGCCATATCGAGTGGGCCATCTGTCTGCTTCTTTTTAGTGCTTCTAAAAACAGCCCCCCCCCCCCTCCGACCGTTTTTGATTTGTTTTTTTAATTCTGCGCATACAAGCTGCTAGCGCCTCTCGTCTGTGTTGTTTATTCTTTGATGCCATATGGCTGTCAAAATGTGCAAAAAATATATATGTATCGATTGCGACGAAGTCATGCGAGGACACACACGCAAAAAAAGAGGCTCCATTTAAGCGGCGATAAAGAAATGTCAGATCCTTGAGTGCTTGCTCTGCAGACACCCCACCGCCCACTCGCCTGATGAAGAACGAAATGTTCTGAGCTTGTTATTGTGCGGCTCGGGCTCGACGCAGCCCCGGCCTATAAGGAAGATGCTCCTCCGGGCTAAATTTCGCCCTACATCTCGGGCCGCGTGGAGGTGAGCGGCTGGTCAATGTGCAGAAGAAGCGCGACAATACGATTACTAAGCAGAGAGCGCGACGCTAATGCTGTGAACCGAAACACTCGGAAAAAGTGGTGGCGAGGGAAGGGAGGGAAGCGAGCGTTTTGGCGCAGACGCGCTCGGAGGAGTGTGAACCGAGAGATGCGCCGTTACCAGCTGGAGTGCCGACGTGGTCCGTGGATGATTGTGGCCGCTTGCACTCAATAACTCCCTCCGCCCTTCTTTTCCACTCCGTAGATGCATCATCCTATTCAGATGAAACCAGCTGACAGTGAGAAAACGAGCGGTGAGTATTTTTTACATTTAAAAAAAATATATATTATTAAATGGCGGCATAAAGTGAAGGTTCTAGTGGAGCTAATGGCAGTGCCAGATCATTTCTATGTAGCGGTGAGCGCTCGGAGGATTAAAGGCTTTAAAAAGGCACCGAGGGAGCGTAGGTACGGGAGGTGAGGGGCGGGGGGGGGGGAGTGGCACAAGAATGGATAATACAACATCATCATCTGCATCTGCCTGGAGGAGCAGGCAAGGAGGAAAACAGGAGTTGTTCAAGTGAAGAGCTTGAGTTCTGCCCTCCCCCATCCCACTTTTTTTTTTTTTTTGTGTATGTGTCCGCAGCGGTAGAAGACAGAAAACTCTTCATCGGAATGGTTTCAAAGAAATACGGCGAGAACGAGGTCAGGATGATGTTCTCGTCCTTCGGCCAGCTGGAGGAGTGCCGAATCCTGCGCGGACCCGACGGGCAGAGCAGAGGTAAGTGCCGCCCTCCGTAACCCCACCCCCACCTCCCCCACCTCTCCGATAAAAAGGCTTTTCTAACGGCGCGACACTTGAGGGCCCCCGCGCGGCACATTGAAGGACGGCCGCAGAGCGCCGCGCCATCCGGGTACAATGGGCCCGGTCGCCCTGGCAACTGCCGCCTGCCTGCCTCGGTTGGGCGTGCGCGGCTGGCCGACGCCGCGGCTCCTCTCTCGTTCTGCCTTCGTCGTACGCGCCGCCGTTCCACGAGCAGAAAAGGCTCATCAGAGCCGTGTGGGAAAACTTGAAAGCGGCCGTCGCACATCTCGAATTTTATAAACCTGCGCACGACATCTGTGAGGGTTTTTATGTTGTTGATTTTTTTTTTTAATTTGGGAGGGGGGGTTGTTTTTTTTGGGGGGGGTATTTTCAGCTCTTTGTGATAATCGTAGCTGAACGTGTGTGTATGTGTGGATATGTATATATATATGTATATATTTATATATATTTATATATATATGTGTGTGTGTGTATGTATATACACGTGTGCGTGTGTCTATAAAATGAGTGTTTTCACCACACAGTGGAGGCTCTCTGGGCGGCTGTTTTTGAATCTGCCAACTCACTGTGCTCATGTGTTCCTGTTCCGTTGTCGTCTTTTTTTCTCTGTGTGCTAACCAGTGAGGGTGGTTCTGTGTGCATTCTCTGTGACTGTAATGTGTTTTTTGGGGGTTCATAACGAGTTGTCCAAACCTTTTTTTTTTTTTTCTTTTTTGTCTTGTTTTTGTTTCTTCTTGTCCCTCCCTCTCTCCGTCCCCTCCCTCTCCTATTGTTCCCTCCTCCTCCCCCTCCTCCTACAGGCTGTGCGTTTGTCACATTTGCTACCAGGGCAATGGCACAGAATGCAATCAAAACCATGCATCACTCTCAGACTATGGAGGTACTGTATCCCCCTCAACACCTATTTCTACCCCCCCCTCCCCCCATCGACTCCCCACATACTCTGCTGCCCCCTTGTGTTGGAAAAGCTTGAAAGTGTCTAGGCCAGACAGTGGCAAAAAAAACAAACATGCCCCCCCCAAAACGTTCTTGGATTACGCAACGTAGCACTGCCGACTTCCCCAGCAAGATGGGAATGGTATTGACCTCTCGGAGCCCAGCCCCAGTCCGTTGAAAAGGGGCCGAACCGAGGCTCCGGTTCCTTGGCCTGGCTTAGCCACGCGACTCTCGGAAGTGGGGCGGCAATAATTTGACGGCCAGTCAGTTGGAGGCTCCAGCATCATCTGCGCGAGCTCAGCAAACGGCAGGACTAAAATTGGTCCCGCCTCGTCGCGGCCGAGGCGCAGAGGCCATTTTCCCTCTCCGGCTCTCTACTCTGACAAAGACCTCGCAGCGCATGCCCTTTTGTCCTCACGCATCTGTCTGAGCCGTTGTGTGCCTGTCTGACTGTCGACGCTGTCTGTCGTATCGCACTCTCCCCGTCAACGTCTGCTGCCGTTTGCCTGGTTTGATTTTTGAGATGGCCGTCTTCCATTTGTCACGCGCGGACTCCGAGAGTTCGGGGCCCAAAGCGCCATCGTCCCGCGCCCTCTCTGGAATGTGAGCTGGCTCAGCTATGCATGGCACATGTCCTCTGTGTGTTAGCTTTTGTATGAATGCGGCTACGAAAAGAACCCTTCAGGCATCGATGATGACGCCCCTCGCCCTCCCCCATGCCCCCGATTTTATTTGTATTTCTCGAAGCCAAGTCCTCCCAATTTCCCCGGCTTGTTTTTCCGAACCATTTTTTTTTCTTCTTCTGCTTCTTTTTTTTTTTTTTTTTATGTTGCTGTCGCTTCAGGGTTGCTCGTCACCTCTGGTGGTGAAATTTGCCGACACGCAGCGGGATAAAGAGCAGCGCCGTCTGCAGCAGCAACTGGTGCAGCAGATCCAGCAGCTCAACAGCGCCTCCACCTGGGGGAACCTGGCCGGTTTGGGCAGCCTCACGCCTCAGTACCTGGCTGTAAGTGGCTTCGACTCCGTCGAACTCATTCTTTCATGCGACAACAGTGGAGCTAAACCAGACGTATTGTTGTTTGAAAAACTCCAGTCCGCACAAGGAGCCCACCCGCGATCGCTGAAACGAAAAAAATAAATAAAATGACGTCTCCAACGTAACGTAATCACGTATGGGCTCGTGGAGAAACGCCGCATTCCAACCAAACCTTACCATTGAAGTCCACTCATTTGATGCTACCTTAAATTATGCGAATTGGCATTGATGTTAACTGTCAATGATCATCCCGAATATGCTACTTCAAAAGTAGGTTGTGCAGAATTTGGTGCCATCTAATGGCGGGATCATAGAATGCAAAGAATCTGAAAGGCTCGGTGCCTCCGGGAGACTCCGCTTTGCAAAACGAGCGGCAATTTCTTGAGCAGAGGTGCAAGCAAAACTGTCATCCAAAAGGACTTCCGGTTTTGCCTCTCGAGTGACGCGGTCAATGTGTGGCGTGGCTTTACGCAAGCTGCGCCCATGGCGTCGCGGTGAGGAAAAACGGTCGACAAATTTGTCTCCTTCGGGTATCCTTAGCGGAAACGTGGCAGCCGATTGCTTGGCAACATTCATCAGATGGAAAGAAGGCCTCGTTTAGAACGTAGTATGCGAAAGAACGTTTTGGACTTGAGTGCCTTCTTTTTGAATGAGCGGGTTTTTGGGAGGCCAGTGGGGGGGTTGTTCATTGTGGAATACTACCAATGCCTCCAATTAAGATTTGCGATTTTGATATCGAACGGCAACAGGAAGGCCCGACGATGGGCGCGTGAGACGATAACACGAACGGCCGATCTCCTGCGCCGTCCACTTGCCGACCGGTCAAACATCTCGGCCTGAAATTGTCGGGGACTAACTGAGCGTCTCCAATTTCATCCCCTTCCTCAGTTGCTGCAGCAGGCCGCTTCCACAAGCAACCAGAGCACTTTCAACAGTATCCAGAGGCTAGGTGAGTTGACTCGCGGCTGCCGGAAATGTACGCGGTTGCGAAAATCAGCCTGCCGACGCGACATGGGGTTGCCTTTACTGCCTCGCGAAGCACCCGTTGGGCTTCAAGATGACAAATGCTTGCAAAATGTCTCCCGGCTCTCTCCGACCAACGGCGGAACTGTTCTTTGTAGGGGTGAATCCGCTTCAGCTGCAGAATTTGGCCACATTAGCCGCGGCGGCTGCGGCGGCGCAGAGTTCCGGCAGCCCCACCTCTTCCAGCGGCCTGTCAGCCGCCACCAGTGCGCTCGGAGCTCTGGCCAGCCCAGGTGATTTCGCCGCAGCGTGTTACGTGTCGCGTTCCAAAATGCTCCGCGTGGCTGTTCTTTGCCAGCGCCGTCGGTGAATTGAAACAAACTTGGAATGAGAATCATAAAGACGAAGATATCTGGCAACCGCTCCGATGGCGAGCCACAATTGCAGACGGCGAACCACTTCTGGTGATGCGCCACCGTAGGTTCGAGGGTGACCCGTTTTTGACTTTGAAGACTTTTGTGACACTGTTAGCGCACACTGCACCCAAAGCATCCCAACACAAATAGCTATCAGTGAAATAACACGTGCGCAGACACGCCATTTTGTTATTTCCCCCCGACACCCTTTGCGAGCAACTTGGGACCGGGTGCACGTAACCACACGAAGCCTTGCCGCTGTAGATCTTGGCTGACGCGTAGTCGACAGACCGTTGAGGTTTCGAATTGCACAAGCGCTCCCTAGAGCTGCGTCAACAGCCGCGCCGTGGCGGATGTGGAGGCCTCTCAGCTTCCCGCACATTCTACAGTATGTGTGCATGGGATTTGGCGGCCTCCCGCGTTGACTCTGTATGTGGTGTTGTCCCCCCCACCAGCCGGCTCAACGGCGGGTTCCAGCGCCAGTGCCGCCATGAACACGCTGGCGTCTCTGGGCACCCTGCAGGGTCTCACCGGGGCTTCCGTTGGCCTCAACAACCTCAACGCTCTCACCAGTGGCGTCGCCGGTAAGAACGACTGAACATTTTTGCGGCAAGTTTAAAAAAAAAAAAAAACACACACACACTTGATCCCCACTATTTGCAGGGGATCGGGACCAGATTGACCGCAAATAAAAAAAAGAGAGAGATAGAAATGTATATATTTCTAAAAATTTGAGTTGATGGGCTGCGGAAACTTGATTTATTATCGACAAAACATCTCCAACGGGAACAAGTTTGCGTTTGCTGTCATGTCTTGAACTTTATGGCGCCAAATGATGCCACCGCAATCCATCGCTGATTTTGGACACAATGCAGATTATCTGCTGAGCCGATCAAATGTGTGTCGTGTACTTAAGTACAGTTCCCCGACTCCGTTCAAAAAAAAACAACAAAACCCGTCAGCACTGATTTAACTCCTTTGGCAAAATAAAAAACTTTGACATGCGCTTAACTGCAAAAGTAAAAAATGGACTTCTACACAAACAATGAATCGCCCCCCCCCCCCAACCTTTCCGCTCTCAATGTACTGCATAGCTTCGCTTTTCAGATTCGACGGCGAGTTTTTGAACGTGCGAAGCTTTTGCCGTTCGGCCCGCACCTGGCAACGCGTTTGCGGCTGTTGTCGTGCACATTGTTTTTGTTCCCTCTCTGGGTCGAATCTCGATCGTCGGGGCGTCGGCGTCAAACCTATTTTGACGTGGGGAGGGAAAATCAAAAGCCAAGTGTGTTTTTTCCTTCACGTTGGGAGTGAAGCCCAAATCGATACTCCTTCGTGTAATTGCAAGTATTTTTTTGGCACCTGGCCGCTGTAATACAAGTCGTGCGCGTGCGGCGCCTCGTCTTTGGAGCAGGGATGGGGGCCCTGAACGGAGGCCTGGGCTCGTCCATGGCCAACGGCTCGGCGGCCAGTTCCATGGACGCGCTGACCCAGGCCTACTCGGGCATGCAGCAGTACACGGCCTCGGCCCTGCCCTCCCTCTACCCCCAGCCGCTCCTGCAGCAGAGCATCCCCGGGCACCAGAAGGAAGGTGAGCGCCCCCCCCCGACCCCCGCCTTCCGTCGCTCACGCTTCTTTTCGGCGGGGGCACTCCGTAACGTGAGATCCTGGCCTTTTTTGTTTGACGCGAACGGAGTAGGGCCGGAGGGCGCCAACCTGTTCATCTACCACCTGCCGCAGGAGTTTGGGGACCAGGACCTCCTGCAGATGTTCATGCCCTTTGGGAACGTGGTGTCGGCCAAAGTGTTCATCGACAAACAGACCAATCTGAGCAAGTGCTTTGGTGAGTGCGCCGCCGACAGAATTTCCTGACCACGGCCTGGACTCGGTCCTTTGAAATGAGTGCCTGGCGCGCGGCAGAACGGACGGCATCCAAAGAAAGCGTCTGACCGTCCCGCTCCCCTCCCCCGCTGTGCGTCCTCAGGGTTCGTCAGCTACGACAATCCCGTCTCGGCGCAAGCTGCCATCCAGGCCATGAACGGCTTCCAGATCGGAATGAAACGGCTGAAGGTTCAGCTGAAGCGTTCCAAGAACGACAGCAAGCCCTACTGATCCTCGCCCCGACCCCCCACCCCCCCATCCTCCCCAGCTCTAACGCTAGCGATGCTAGGGTAAGTTCGCCCTCCGGCCAGTCACCACAGCACAGACTCGGTGGGGGCAGGGGCGGAGAAAGGAGCCCTGTGGCTTTCCTTCAAAAAACAAAAACGACAACAACGACAAAAACAAGTTTGCAATGATCTTTTCACGTCTACTGTATTTCATTCCTGCTGTTTGAATATTTTAATGTATGATTATTTATGACTATCACTTGAGTCGGTGTTGTCACCGGAGGGAGCAAGAGTAGAGCGTTTTTTTTATTTTATTTTTTCTCCTCTTCTTTCCATGCCTTCTTTTAATTGCCTTCAGCTGGCGCTTAAGACAGGTTGACTAAGGGTCGCGTGGGTTTCTCAGTGTGCTTCTTTACCTACATGAGTCCGTCTCATCACTCGTTGTGAACGTTGCCCTCTTTGTTTCGATGTCTTTCTCCCTCTCCGTCTCTCTCTCTGTCTGTCTTTATTATTATTATTATTATTATTATTAACACCCTCCTGCAGTCATTTCCATCCATCTGGGCTTGACTCCAGATGGATCTTTTCGGTGCCAAGTACATTGCATGTTGGGAGTCCGTTTTGACACTTCCTCCAGTCCAGTCCGTGTATATTGTGTGTTTTTGTGTTTTGTTTTGTGGAAGGCGTCGTTGTCGTGTGTTGTTTACCTTCCACTGTATGTTGCCGCCCTCTGTCAGGGTTCCCCCGAAAAACGTGAAATGTGGCTCCACCACCATGTGAAACCACCACATACATGCCTTTCGGTGACTCTTCCGGTCTCTGTTGCGTCCCGCTGCTTACAGCCTGTGACACTGCAGCGAGAGAAAAGATTGTGCTCAGGACCGTTCCATCGATGAACTGGACCCCCCTAGATGAGCGTGTCGTAATGATGGTGGTTGTTTAAACTGCACCAACTAAATGGGGACGAAGCAAAATTCACCCGCCGACCTTCATGAAAGTGAGAGCCACTTCTTGGCCGCTGATCCATGCCGAGGGTGACGAGTTGGATTTTGGCTTCCGACACTGCTTCCGGGTTCAACTCGATGTCAATTGCTAGTGAGCCACGCTACGGCAAATCACAACCCCGTTGTTGGAATACATCAGCCGGACTATTCGCTTTTCCATACATTGATGATTGGGGATGAGCGAGTCCCCACACCAGGCAAGGCAGCGCGGTCGGGTACCGGAAAAGGCTCGTGATGAGCGTCCCGCCGGACCTCATGCCTCAGGCCCCGAGCAGGTTGCAAAATGCGTCGTCTTCCGGATCCGACCGACAACGTGTGGTGTTGAAAAGGCTGAACGAATCGCCGCTTTCGGGACAGAGTGAAGTGAAACCACGGCTGTCCATGACATCCAAATAGTTGACTAGTTATTGATTGATTGTTGCGGCTCCAGTGCACATAGTCCAAACTGTCAAGGACTCGCGCGCCCGCTCGACGATCGCCCGCTCGACGATCGCCCGCTCGACGATCGCCCGCTCGACTTCCAGAGTTTGCATGTGGGCGATGGGGTGGCCATCTTGTTTTTTGGGGGAACCCGGCTGTGTGTTGATTGTTGTTTTGGGTGCCTCGTGGCTCAAACGATTCACGTGCCGTGGCCCTAACTTTGTGCTCTCTCTCTCTCTCTCTCTCGCTCTCTCTCTGTCTGTCTCTTGTGTTTTTATCCCTTTGTTTGATTTTTAGAACAAATCTCCATGCCTGTTTGCTCATCATTAGCCTAGCATGTCTTCACGATGTTGAAAGGCAAAGGCGCGCTCCCCGCTGGTCTCCTCCTCCTCCTCCTCATCCTCACCACCACCATTGTTTGTGATGTCTCTCTTAAGATCGCCTGACCAATACCTGGCCCCGCCCACTTAGCTCAACCTGACTCGTTTCTGCATGCGTGTTCATCATTTGTCTTTTGTTTTGTATTGAAATGTGATGAGATGGGAGAGAGGTCAAGCGAAAGTAATGTGAAAACGTACCTACGTTCTTTTTTTTTTCCCTGAATATTTTAAAAACCTGTGGGATTTCTTAGTTGAGCTTTTTTTTTTTTTTTTTAAATACCTCTCGGTAGGGTTAAATACAGGGATTGGCACGCCAGCTGTGCTATTGGTGCCATTAGCAATATGTTGAAGAAAGTAAAGGCTTGGAAACCACTTTTTCTTTTTTAAACCTTCCCTGATCAGTTAAAAAAAAAAAACTGTTGGCGCTCTTGAATGAGCGCTACATTTGGCGGGCAGTGTGAAGACTTTTTTTTTTTTTCCCCTCTCTCCATCAAGGTGATTGAAAATTCGAGTTTGTTTTCATTTCGACATTTTTTTTATACTACCAATGGCACAATAAAAGGTACATTTGCTCAGTTTGGAGAAATGACTACCTACACGAGTCAACTTTTTTAGAACTGATTCACAAATAGACAATCTGTGGTTGAAATGCACACTTAGATTACCTATATTTTGTACCATTGAATCTATAGAGGTCTAACTAACAGAACCCAGGCAAAAACATTGGGTTTGTTTTTTTTTTTTGTTTTTTTTTTTGGGTGTGTAGATTTATGTTGTAATGTCATCTGTGTTGGGAAAGGGGGGGGCGCTGTGGTTTAAAAAAAAAAAAGTTTTGACAGTCACTTCTACTCAATTGAAACCACACTTGAATTTGAAAATTCCTCTGCATCCATTCGAAATTTGTTTCAGGATGTCTTTGGTACGTATTGTTGATTTCTGTGAATGATTATGTACAGATAAATCTTCTTTTTTGTTTTTTCCATTAATATGGATGCTTTCACTGTTGTTGGATGCCTTGTGTGATTTCCAATGTTTGTTAATCATACAGATGATAGCCAATGTCTTTTGCTTTTCTTTTTCAAAGTGCCCATGTGTCAAAAGTTTGGATGCTCCACAACAAGCTCGAGTTTTGTTTTTTTGTTGTTTTTTTTTTTTTTTACATGCGCACAGGCATGTGGCGGTTTGTGCGCTCATCAATGCGGGAGCCCCTGAAGACGAGACCACTCACTCAACCCCCCCACCCCGCCCCTTGGGAGTTGTGACCCCCAATTCCCACCACGCCTGTGTTGGTTTACAAATACATTCCACTGTTTCTGCACAAAGTTTACACTTGCCCTAAGGGTGATTTTCTGTTTTATTGTACCACACCAAAACAACCACTTCTATAGCCACCCCCAACCCCTACCACCCCCCCACCCCCCCAGATTTTTGCGCTAATGAGTTGCCAACTCAGGGTATTTCTTTGATGTGTGAGAAACAAAATTTATGACACGTGTACAGCTTTATTGGGTTTGTTTTTGTCACCTTGTCTGCAACCCCCCCACCACCACAAAACGAACAAGACCCCCCCCCCCAAAAAAAAAGTGCACAAAATGCGCGTTGTCTTGCAAAGGAGCACTAAGCACAAAGACGGGAGCTTTTCTGGGGGCAAAAGTAGTGTGTGTGAGTGCGTGTGTGCGTGCGCGTATCCCAAGAGTTTCTTTTGAATGCTTTTTACGGTGTTTTTTCTAACTCTCGATATATAATGCAATACAATAATTCAAGTGCCATACACGTCTAGAAAACTGCCTACACATCCTTATCGGGCCTTGGTTAGATTGCTGCACTTGGCCTTTTATGTGTCACTTGCTTAAACGCCAATCCCCCCCCCCACCCCACCCCCAAGAATATTTTGGGTGTCGTTAGTAACTGTATTGTGTCGTGAAGCATTTGTCGATAAAATAAACACCCTCATATATAGAAATATATATAGCGAGAGAGAAAGAGAGAGATCCATTCACACGGCTCTAACTATGATACATTGGCGGGCGTGAGCTCATGCACTGAAAACACTTTGCGACCCCACCTGGACTCGATCGGACGTTTCCAAGAACCACTTTGTGAGTCAAGCATTGTGTTGTCTTTTGGGGGCGCGCGGCAAAGTGTTTAGAGGAGAAAGCACAAATGTACCCGTGTACAGCCAGTCTCACTTCAGGGGCTTCCATCACCAAATGGCAGCTGCCAAACAATCACTCCCCCCCGCTTTGAATTCCTCAGCGCTCGGTTTTGGCACGGCGCGGTGGCTTTGCATCCTCTTTCGATCTTGTCTTCGGAAAATCGGACGCACGCCGGTATGTTATTTCCTCGGCTGATGAATAGAAGTGTTCCTTTGTTTGGGGTGTCGATGAAAAGCCAAAAAGTGGGTGCGTCTCGCTGTGATCTTGTGTTGGTGAACGAGGGTGGCATATGAAGGAGGGTTAGGAAGAAAAAAACAAAACAAACAAAAATCTGAGGCATATGCAGGCTTTTTCCAATTTTTACGACTGGTTGTTCATAATGTCTTTTGTACCAGTGACGCTTTTGATATTGGAAATTAAAAGGAAAGAAATTTAAATTGTCTGGCCTCTTTGACCAGGTCTTTTTTTTTTTTTTTTTTGCTTGTTGCTGTCAGGCTATTATTATTATTATTATGATCACCGTTTTATGTCTTTAAAACTAAAAAGGAAAAAAAATTGCCTGGTTTTGTCTTTACTCTCCTCAATTAGTTAATCCATTTCTGGGGGGGTGTGATCCTCTAAATGGTGGTAAGTTTCATGTTAGTATTTGTGCTGTCATCTGGATTTTTGACGTGCGGATAATTGTCTTAGTTTAAGAGTTAACCGTTTAGTTTGAGCCTTGCTTTAAAAGAAAACATTTTTTTGGGAAAAAAAACATTTGTGTAGATTATTTTGTGTGTGTGTGTGCGCGTGTGCTTTTTTTCCCCCTACTCCTAACCCCCCCCGCCCCTCCCATAGCAGAGTGTGTAGACAAAAAAAAAACTCTGTTCTTCTTTTGGTCGCTGTTTGTTCATATGTGGTGTGTTTCTTTGCCTCTGTCTCCAAATTAAACCATTTCCCCCTAATATGGACGCCGTCTTCGTGTGTGCTGTTTGTTCAGTGGCGTACAAACGTTAGCAAACGACCCCCACCCCACCAGAGAGCGAGTGAGAGAGTGCGTCACGCTTTGCAAACCTGTTCCACCTCCCTATTCTAATTTGCTTTGTTCCTAGTTGTCAGTTTTGTCTTGTTGGTGTAAATAACTCATGGCTGCCAAATTTACAGGAATCAATGAGCCATGTTTGGGGTGCACCTTGTTTCCTCTTTCGCAGTTAATCCCTGTTTTTTTTTGGGGGGGGGGCATAAATGGGCCAAAATAGAAGCCAAGACAATACCTCGAGGTGCGATGGATCAACTTTAGGAAGCAGCAGAGTCAACAGTTTCGAATTTTGTTTGTCTACAGACCAGATCCAGAGTGCACATCTACACACCTTTAATTAAATTGCATATACATTAAAAAAATAAACATTTAAAGCCATATGTCACTTTTGGGCAAAGGTTTGCAAGTTGTGTGTGTGTGTGTGTCAAATGTTTTCAATGTTCAAAATCGCTTTGCGACAAAAAAAAAATGCAGGCGAACGTTTGACGACTGTTGGAACATTTGTGAACTGAACGACCTCTGTCGGGAACGCAACGTTCGCTACCTGCCAAAACACTCCCAATAGTTCTCAGCTCAGTAGGATCTAATTCAAAACTTGAATGAAGGGTGTGTATTTGAACGCAGCAGTCTGCCACCTCTAAATGCCAACTGTGATTATTTGTAAACGTAGGAAATTTAATAATGGGCAAAAAGTTGTTTCCAAAATACAACTCGAAATGACGAGGGACCGCTTGAAGGAATGAACGGAACTGAAAACATCGCTCCTGATTGTTACGTGTCCAATTTCTACCCACGGGGGCTAAATATAACAAGGGTGGGGGGGGGGGCAATTTCCAACACAAAATTGGAAATTACGAGTCAAGAGGGAAGCCCTTGAACAAATCTCGACCAACGCGGAACGCCTCCAAGGTAGCTGGCACGTTGTCCTCGAACTTCGCCCACGATGTCCAAAAGCCGTGAACGCTCACTGCACTCTCCGACGCAAATTTCGAATGAACGACCTCCGAGGGAGGACGTGGACGCGTCAAATCTCATCCGCCACCTGTCGTTTCCTCTCTGCGACGTCGCTATCGAGCGCTTCGCGGTCTTTGGCGTGTCGGACACATTCGATTCCATTCACGCGTGACTTAGTAGTGACAAGTGACGTCTGACGTGCATCTCCGAGAAACCATCGTTCGTCGGCGAGACCAGAACTAAAATTCGCTGCTGGCCAATAAGGTTTGAGTTGGAATCGCTAGCCAACCGCCTTCGGTTTAGGCGATTACTCCCTCCGCTGTTGTTCCGGCTTCGGAGCTCTACTGTTCGTGCCATGTCAGCCGCTCTTTTCCTGAAAAGTTCCACCAGGCGGCTGCCGCTCGAGGCGTTTGGCCGGGCCGCCGGCTGCTGTTACCACACCGAGAGAGGAGTCTACGGCTACCGTCCCAAACGGAGCCCCGGCGGGGACGAATCGCTGAGCCAGCGCATCACCGCACTCAATCAAGGTCAGCGTCCGACGCGGACTACTTAACGCGCTGCTTTCAGTTCTCTCGAGCAAAGACGCGGCTTCGGCCCCACGCCGGAAAGCTCTCGGCGTGCCTTTTGCCGCCTCGCCGAGTTCGCTCAAAGTCAGCGTCCCACACGGGCCGTTTCGCAGGCTGCTCGGCGTGGCTTTGGGAGCACGCCGCCACACTCTCCGGCTTCAGCTCGTGTCACCCGGCCCAGGCCCCTCCCCCAGCGCAAGCGTCACCGTTGCAATTCCGGGAGGACGCTTTTTGCCTCCGGGCGGCGCGCTGACAAAATGGTTGTCGGCGAGTCTGCCGAGGGCGCCCCCGTGGCTTTCCGCAAGTTGCGGGCGGTAAGACAACTTTGATCGAGCGACTGCACCTCTCACGTTCAACTACTCCAAGACGTCACGACCTACAACGATGGCAAAAAATTGTCAAGCGGCGAGGCGAAACGCAACGGCAGCAAAGCATAAATAACTAGTCAGTTCTCATTGTAAATGTCCCAAAACATTTGAAAAAGTGCGCGTTCTCAGATTTCCGTCTCTCCGATGTGACTTTCGTTCGGAACTGATGTTCCATTTTCAAAACAAATGGCCGTTGAAATCTGCAATTTTGACCATTACGCTTAATAAAAATAAATAAATAAAGTGACTTTTTTTGTTATCGCGCAACCAGACCAGGTCGAGCCCACACGAGGCTATCCAAGCTATTCAACCAAAATGCTTTCATTAAGATATGATGTTTTGTTGCACAAAACCACATCTTCATGAAAGTACTGTGGTTGGATACCCGCTGGTCCCTAAACCTGGACTGGTTTTGGGATCACGAAAACTCATTTTTTAATGATTAAAAAAAAGAAAAATCAGGTGTCATGATTGTCATTGATGCAGAGTTAATATTGACTTTAATTTCTGTCTCATGTTCAGAACATTTCTTGGTGCGACACTGAGAAAGTTTTCATTCTCCCTGGGCGAACTCATGGTTCCCTGACCTCTGACAAGTGATTTTAAATCCAAACCATTGACGTGCACGCACGAGTCGGAATAGCTTTTATTTTGAAGGTGGCCAAGGACGCCAGCTGGCTGCCGATCACTGTAATGCGCCTTGTGAGCAATCCCTTTGGCGAATGGCTTGACTTGAACTTTGCGTGCGGAGGCTGGCCTGTCCGCAGTCTCCCACAGCACCTTCGCTACGATAAGGGCTACAATATGCTCTGTCTGGATATGTTGCTACTTTTTATGTTCAAATATACATGATTGAAAGTTTGACAAGTATTGCGACGCCGGTGGTGCTAGTATTGTTAGCCCGTGTGGTGCATTTTTTTTTTTTGTTAGGCTAGCTCTGCTTTGTCAGAAATAGTAAATGCGGTTTGCCGAAATAAGTCACAATGTGGAATGGGGTTTGTCAGAAATAGTAAATGCGGTTTGCCGAAATAAAAGTCACAATGTGGAATAGGCTTGTTGTGAAAGGCAGACGAAGGAAATGGCCTTTGTGCACGCCCGCCTGACCCTCGGTTCGCTTGTCTTTCAGATCACGGCCTGGCCCGCCTGGTGGAGGCCTACCGAGCACATGGACACAAGCTGGCCAAAATTAACCCCCTGCTGCCCCACATGCCCGTCGTGGACAGCGTTCCCGAGATCAGCGCGCTCACGGGCACCCTCGGCGGACCGTTCAACACCTCAGGTGGACCACTCTTGCACTGCAGGCGTGTGCGTGTCGCGCGCTATGCTGTGCTTCTCTTCACGCACTTTGACACTTTTTTTTCTGGGGTGGACATGTAGTGTTGAACAGAAAAGGCAAGAAAAAAATAGTTGAAAGCCGTCACGTGCCACATCACTTGCCGTCGAGGCCGGTCTGCGGTCCGCTGGCTTCGAGTTTGACACCGGTTGGGTTCAGCTGCGTCGGCGAGTGTCTGTCCACCCGGCACAGTTCATTGTTGATCGCATTCGGGACGGCTACTATTCTGGCCGGGACGGTCCTGATACTTAGCCGCTGATACTTAAGGCAAAAAACTTGGATTCAGTCTTCCTTGTCAGTAGTCGTTACTGGTGAGTATGCAAGAGTCTGAGCACTCGCTCTGGTATGGGTGGGGAAGAAAAAGGTGCGAGTGTACTTGATGCCGCTTTTATTCCTGTTTTTTGCTCAAACCTCGCTTTTTGCCCCCACGCACGAACGGCGGTGTCGCGACCTCCACCTCGGTGCAGGACTGCGCCACTTGGGCAAGGCGGAGGCGTCGGCGGACGAGGTCCGGGCCTACCTGGAGGAGGCCTACTGCGGCCACCTGTCCGTGGAGACCGGTCAGCTGCGCGGCGCCGAGGAGAGGGAATGGATGGCCGACCGCTTTGAGGAGCTCAAGAGCACCGCCTTCTCCTCGGACGAGAGGAGGAGCCTGGCCAAGCTCATGCTGGAGTCGCAGGTCGGCGCGAGCGGCCGCCGGTCGACGCCAGTCGTCCGCGGGGCCGACGTTAACGAAAGCGAGCGCCCATCTCTGGTTTCCCTGCAGGAATTTGACCGCTTCCTGGCCACCAAATTTTCCACGGTGAAACGCTACGGCGGAGAAGGAGCCGAGAGCATGATGGGCTTCTTCCATGAGCTCTTCCAGCGCTCGGCCCGGGCCGGCGTCACCGACGTGGTCATCGGCATGCCGCACCGGGGGCGGCTCAACCTCTTGACGGGCCTGCTCGAGTTCCCGCCAGAGGTAAGCAGACGAACGCGGCGGCGGGGAAAAGTGAGTTTCGGTCTTCCCAGGAAGACCGCCATTTTGATTTTGGCCTTCTGGCTGTCTTTAAAACGTCACCATCAAAGAGAAATAATTATTTGGTCCCCCCCCAGTGAATGGTTCCACACTTGGAGAGGTTCTTCAGGGCTCACTCCCTGCACATTGTCTTGACCGTCAAGTCAAACCTTACTTCTTTTGTTTCGGTTGCCGGCAGCTTTTTCTGCAGCTCAATCCATTGTGCCCTCTGCTGGCGAGATGCAGCAAGCGTCATGAGATGGATTGAAAGCAGGCATGGAGCTGCAGTCTCTCTCTCTCTCTCTTTCTCTCGGTCTCTGTTTCACACCGTCTCTGCCCCCCCACCGTCTCGCCTCGTCGGTGTATTGATGGCTTCCGTCTCCGTACGTGTCATTGTCCAGCTGATGTTCCGTAAGATGCGCGGCCTGAGCGAGTTCCCCGACACGTCGCCCGCCATCGGGGACGTCCTGTCCCACCTGACGTCGTCGGTGGACTTGGATGTGGGGGCGGGGCCCCGGCTTCACGTCACCATGCTGCCCAACCCCTCCCACCTGGAGGCCATCAACCCCGTCGCTCAGGGCAAGACGCGGGCCCTGCAGCAGCTGCGGAAGGAGGGCGACTACTCGCCCGACGAGCACGCCCGGCCGGGGGACCGAGTCGTCTGTCTGCAGGTTGGCGCTCGCCACTTTCAAATAGCAGGGGCGGGGCTG